ATTTATATTCTTTAGTTTTATTTATATATTTTTCTTTTATTTATATCTCTTTAATTTTATTTATATTTTTAATTTTATTTATATCTCTTTAATTTTATTCCTATTTATAGTTAATCTTTTTATATCTTCACACTTAAAATGTTTCTTTCCACTTGTTATTTTATATTTCTATGTATTCCCAGCCCTCTATCTCCCTTTATAAATATATTTACACCCTTTATATCCCTTTTCTGTAGGTATTTCTGTCCCTTTTTTATACAGAGTCACATCCCCCTTCTTTTACAGACACGTGGATAAATTGGGTCCTTGTCAGGACACAAACACCTCCACGAAAATACAAGGCCACAGGTTGGACTGGATGACCCTGGAGGGTTTTTCCCAACCTCAATAATTCAGCTTTTCCTTAAACCCCTTTTTACTTCTCCCCATCTCTGCACTCCCAGAGCAGCCAAGAGGCAACAGCTTAAAAAAACCACCATAATCTGATTTTCTCCCTACGTTAGTCAACTGAAAAACCAGCTGCTCTTCATCAGGAGCCTTTATTGGCATTATTGAGGGAACCAGGTGGAATTTCCATCACTTTTCCTCTTATTCTTAAAGACCTGCCCAATTTCTTTGCTGGGCATTCATCAGGTGGGAGGAATTAATTCCCCACTGCAGCCCGGGCATGTGCCTGAATATTAACTGCACACATCTGCCAGAAATGCAAACACGGCTCATTTTCTGGTCCTTTCAATCTTTAGGCGGATTTGTCACGACATGAGACCGTCCTGGGGAAATTATTTATAGCTGGGCCTGCTTGGAAATTCTCCTGCAGCTGAAATGCAAAAAAAACCCTCCACAGCTGCTTTTTTGGGAGAATCGTTTTAGTCATGAAAGAAGGAGAAAATCCCCCAGTCTGAGGGTGAACGGGGCTAATTGGGAAATGATGTGGAATTCAAGGGACAGTCAAATTTAATTTAAATATTTTCTAAATTATAACATTCCGAAATGGAGCCTCCTCGTGAGAACTGCTGATGGTTCATGAAAGGAATCTCTTCAGTCAAAAAATTACCTTCCTATCAAAGGATTGTTTTGAAATGGGAATAAAACTCTCTCTGTTCTTCCAGGACAAGCTGAGAACTCCCCATTCCCAGCCCTCCTTCCTCTCCCACCTCAGCCCCTCCTGCAGTGACTGGGGCTCCTCCAGGGGTGGCTCCTCTCCCAGACTGGGAATATTGGGCTGGTTTTTCCCTGTATTTTGCACTCAGGAACACAAATTCCTGGGACAAGGAGGATCCTGACCTTGGAATCTGGGAATTGGGGCCGAGCAGAACCAGCTGTGCCACATCTGCCAAAGGAAGCCAAACCTCTGTGTATTTAATATACAATTATTTTTATTGTGGGTTTTTATTCTGGGTTTTTGGGGTTTTTTTTAATTATTATTTATTTATTTAGTATATCTATTTATATATATTTTATTTATATCTCTTAGATTTTATTGACACCTCTGTAATTTTATTTACACCTTTTTAATTTTATTTATACCTTTTAAATTTTATTTACACCTTTTTAATTTTATTTACACCTTTTTAATTTTATTTATATCTTTTAAATTTTATTTATACCTCTTTAATTTTATTTATATATCTTTAATTTTATTTATATATCTTTAATTTTATTTCTATATTTTTAATTTTATTTATATCTCTTTCATTTTATTTCAGTGCCTGGAACCCCCAGATGTGCAGCCCCTCAGGCACAACCACGGCCACACCTGGCCAAGGAGAAGCCTTTTCCTTGCTTTGTTTCCTCCTAAAGCTGCTTTCCAGGGAGCAATGAGGAGAAAACGCCTCTTATTTACTGAGCTGGGAAATGATATTTGGCATCTGGAGAAAAATCACACCAGACAGGGAGAGATGGGAGAACATGAGGAGCAGGGGAATGAGAGCAGACAGGAACAAGCTGGCAACACACAGCCACTAAATGAAGAAGGATGAGGAAGGCAGACAATGAGGAAAAGAGGATTAAGGGACATCTACCAGCACAAGAATATCATAAAGGCAAAAAAAAACGCCACAAGGAGATGGGAAAGGTCCTTTAAGGGGCTGGAGAAGGGGCTGGAGCAGCAGGAGGGGCTGAGGGAGCTGGGGGGGCTCAGCCTGGAGA